TTATAATATACCTGTTTAAGTAAAAAATTAAAGGGATTTATTAACTAAGTTACTTACTAAAATATTTTTATAATAAAATTAAGTATTTTTATATTAAAAATAGCTTGTTAAGGCTTGGCTATATTAAATATTAAGTTTTAATTAATTAAAAAGTTATAGTGTTATTAATTTATAAATAGTAAGTATTAAAAATCGTGCTTTAAAAAAATAAAAAAAGTATATAATAATACTTATTATAAGCTTTAAAGCTTATAAAAATACTTAAAAAAGTTTTAAATAATATTTTAAAGTAGTTAAAAAAGTTTAAGGGCTTATAACCTAATAACTAGCTAATAATATTACTTATAGTAAACCTTTGAATTATTTATATATAGTAAGTAGTAAGTTATAAAAAACTTTAACTATCACGTGCTGCGCTAGTCCTAATTAGGATAGGCGTGTCCTAGGCGCCGGCCCTCCGGGCGTCCGATATAAAGTTTTTAAAAATAAAATATAAATAAGGGTTATTATAATTAATAATATTAAATTAAAAATATATTAAGTAATTTTTATTAATATTAATAAGTTAAAATTTTATAATTTTATACTTAAAGAAGTTATTTTATAATTTAAGGATTTTTTTATTATAGGAAATAATAGTATTTTTTATATATTATAATATGTTTTTTTTATTTATAATAAGTTAAAGGCTTTAATAAAAGTTTTTAATTTTTTATATTTTTATTAAAATATATTTAAAAACAAGGGTTAATATTAAGGGTGTTATTTTATTTAAGTAAAAAAATATAATTTTATTACTAATATTAATACCTTAAGCTACTTTATTAATTATAATAATATTAAGGCCTAAAAATATTAATAGCCTTAAAAAATAATACTTAGGCTTTATTACATTAAATAAAAGTTATATAAAGTATTTAAAGGCCTTAATAAAAAACCTTTAAATAATTTTATATTTAGTTCCTTTTTTATATATTCTTTTTTAATTACCTGGCCTTACTTGCTAGGTAATCGCCAGCGCTAGCGTTATTACACTATAATAATTTTAAAAAAAATATAAATAAAATTTGGGTGTTTACTAAGCCTATAATAAATATATTATAGGTAAAATATTAAAAAAAATATTTAAAAGCTTATTAAAAATATAAAAGCAGCCCCTATGCCTACAAAATTTAAAAAACTTAGTATTATAGTATATTATATTTATATAAAATATATTCTTATAAAAGCACAGGCTAAAAACCTTAAAAAGGCCCTTATTAATAAAAAAAGGTAAAAAAAGCTTTTTATATTTTAACTCCAGGCCCTAAAAAATAGTAATATAATATTTTATTTTTTAAAAAAAAAATTAGCAAGCCTGTAATTTTTAATAGTAAAAAAATAAAATAAAATAAAATAAAATAAAATAAAATAAAATANAAATAAAATAAAATAAAATAAAATAAAATAAAATAAAATAAAATAAAATAAAATAAAATAAAATAAAATAAAATAAAATAAAATAAAATAAAATATACTTATAATAAGTTATAAAAAAATAATAAACTAAAAAAGTAAAAATTTAAGCTATTAATATATAAAAATGGCATTTTAAAGTAAATAAAAAAGGTTAAAAAAATATTATAAGAAGCAGGCTTGTATAAATAAAAATATAAAAATATAACTTTAAAATAATTTTAAATTAAATAAGCTAGGCAAAAACTAAACCCTAGTAACTTTAAAAATATTTTTTTAAAAAAAAATAACCCCTCCTAGCCCTAAAATTATTTTTAATATTTTAATTATATATAATTATTAAGGCCGCGAGATCCGGCTACTATAATACTTTTAAAATTTTTAAAATTATTATATAAATAAATTAGCTAGTATAAAATATATTATTAAAATTTTAGGTTTTTATACCTTTTATATAAGTTAAAAAGCTTTATTTTTTTAAGTTATTATGGGGGTTAAATATTAATATTATATAGGTTTTAGCGGCAGCTAATTAAGCACGGTAAATTAATTTTTATGCTTTTTATTAAGGCCACGGGGTGCTTGTTTATTACCTCCCGGGGGATTATAAACACGCTAATCTTGCTATTTTCCCTTTGCGTACTTGTATATGCCCGGTAATATTCCTAAATTATTTATTAATTATAGCAAAGCAATTATACTAGTCTACAAAGCTTAAAGTATAAAGTTGGCTAATTATTTCCGCCATGGTTAGCGTGTCCGCCACAACAGTGATATCCATCCCGAGGTTAGGTTAAACCATTATCTTTTTACTTTAGCTTAGCGAAGCTTATAATGGCCGAAAGCAAGTGTTGTGGGCACTAAGTCCACCCTGCAGCCAGAGGAGCCTATTTAGTGTCTTAAGTTCCCATAAAAACTAGGTGACAGACGACCTATTGCGAATACTAGTAAAGTGCTGGCTTTATAATGCCTTAACCAACGGTTCGCGTGATTAAGATACTACACTTGTAACCTTAACTGGACTCGCGTTTTGCAAAGCATTAACTTTTTTGCATATAAATATCTAGGAATAGCTCCATCCCAACCAAGGTAGACTAGTAACAGAAGCATTGTAATTAAAAAGGGATTCTTTTTATTTATTTAACAGCATGGTGCCCGATTAAGAAAGCGGCAGGCCCGTATCTCAGTATACCCCTCTACCGGCATGTGCCTTGTTCTGGTTCAGGCTGTAGGGGAGAGTGGCCAGGTCCCTAAACAGGTTACACGGGAGAAATCCCGAGTTCCCTGAATAACAACGTTCTAACATCCGAAATGGGGTCAGACGGACGAAACAGCGTTGTTATAAAGTAACAAGATTTCACCAGCGGCCAAGTGCGGCCTGTATAGTCACACTTGGCTCAACTCCCTGGATGCCGAGCATATACCGATAATCATTGAATTCCGGGCCGTAAGTATAGACTTGATTGCGGCTACCGTGCAAGCGTGGCAGTGGACTTATGGGACTCTAGGAAATGGGAAAAGTTAGTAGCCTAATTTAGGAGGGGGTATTACACAAACTCGGGGGCTGGGCTGTATTATAGGTAGATATGATCGCAACTAGGCTGAAATTTATGCTAATACTTGGGACTTTCAGGCTGGACCTCTGTTGTGAGTGTTTGTAAAGTGATGTGCAAAAACTAAGAGCCAAGCATGATGCCGGCAATAAGACTATGCCTGATATAGACCTTGCCTCCGGTGCTTTATATTTATGTTGCCAGCCCTGGTGTTCCTGGCTTTTGGTTTTAACAGGGTGGTGAAGTTGATTCCTGCTGTCTATATGCTGCCCCAGGGTGGCTGGACAGCCCGAGACCGTCCCATTCCCGTGGCCTGTTTTAAAAGCCTACCATACCATATTGTAATCTCAGAAACCACCTGTAAACTTGAAAGACACAGACTCCGAAGACCCAATTGATCCAGACCCGTTTTTACCGCCGGCAATTCAAGCTCAAAGAATGGGCTGATATTGCCCGAGAGTTGGAAACAGTAGAAAACATGGAAGAATTAAAAGCGTGGCTTAGAACTGAGCTCTTCAAGGGCTCATTTCTGGCTTTCCACAGCCTGGCAGTGGGCATACCATGGATTATGAGCAAGGGCTGACGCGATATCAACCAACTTCACCATACAGGGCCTGTTCCTCCCATATTATTGCTTACACCCAGTAATGACCCTCCGCGTGTTTGATTTCCCTTTACTGCAAACCAAAGCTAAGTACACCTTGGTACATTAACACGTCAAAGTCACTGAGGGAGAATTATGCCTGTGTGGGCAGGAGTTTAGAGACAGACAATTAGGAAATTCCACGATGATGTCCATCCATTGGCGCCCCTGGTATCGCATTCCTGACTTCACCTGACCACCTTCTACCGCGCCACATTGTCTACTTGCTAAAGCAACCTCGCGACAAGAGGCACAAATCCAGTGCCGGATGGAAAGATATGTGGATGGTATGATCAGTCACCGACTGGTGGATACACGGCGAGAAGCACCCCTACTGGATTCAGCTGACGTATCAGTCAATCCCTCGCTGTCTGTCTCTGCAAGACATTGAATGAGAACATAGAGTGGACAGTCTAGTCTGGTGTATCCACCCAAGCTCTAAGATGGGAGATTCGGCATAACCGTGCCCATTCCAAGAGTACGTGGTGGCTAAAACAAAAACACAAATTCTGCACGAATGATATGGTGTTTTCATCCCACCTTGTGCGATCTCTGAGAAGACTGGCCGAAATTTGCTTGATCTACTACTCTCGCTCATTTGTGGTAGTGGTATCAACATGTCAGCAAAATGGCTTGGTGAAAGTATTAAGGCGCCATTAACAGGAGTTCTAAGTGTCATTTTCTTCTTAGTGCAAGGCACCAATGCGCCTTGATCTAGGAAGAAGTTCAAAGGCAGTTGACAAGGTTTTCAAGCAGATGAGCCTCATCGCGGGACGCTCGCAATGGTCGGAAGACAATTAGGGGAAAAGCAGTCATGGGGCTGCATGCCATAAAAGCTATCCCTAGGTATTATTTCAAAAGCAACGGAGATGTGGGATGGAACAGGGTCCCTTGGGCACGCCCCGTGAACATCGGGACACTAGAATCGAGTATAATTGGTAGAAACAGCACACGGTAGCAATATGGTACAAATACCGGCGTCTAGGCGTAGCTGTCTATGATTCCTTTGGTCCTCTCTACCGGAAAGAATTTGGAACCATCCAAGGAGTACGCCTGTTTCGTCCAGCTGCCTGCGCCGCAATGAAAACGGCATTAAATTTCTTTTCGATAACGAGTGGATGAGGTGAATCTCAAGAGAAGTTGGCGACTTCGGTGTCTGCAGGCTGTTAGCGCCACTATCCCGATTTCGGTAATTCGACCAGTTGGTGTCATTGGTGGGCTCTAGACCCCTGCAAAGCTGCCTGCGCGCAGGCAGCTTTAAAGGGGGCGGCATTCTGTCAGGGAATTTAACCGCGGCGTTGGCCCATACGGGGATTGCCCCAGGTAACCTTGCTGCCAGAATCCCCGTCATGGTGGTAACCGTTGAAGAAATTCTCCAGGCGGTCACAACTATCTCCAAGATACGAGATGAAGACAGAATCCGTCTACGCGGCCATCGCAACGAACTTGAGTTCGCCTTCCAGTCCCTCCAAAAGGTGCTAGAACCTGGGCTTCAATCGACTGATCCTTCAACAAATGGAAGAGCGATTCAGTCGGCCTCACACACTGTCCGAAGTCCATCCAACTTGGATACCCCGTCTAGTAACGTGTCTGGGGACACGATACCCATGTTAGCCGGCCAAGATAAAGCTGCCGATCTGGAAGCGGTCGGTGAGGGGACAGAAGTGCAAAAAGCGGCGACAAAAGGAGTGTCAAACTCGGTAAAAGAGGTGCTAAGGCTTCTGGACAAGAAGAGGGAGAGCATCTTTGCGTTCCAATACGAGCCGAAAGCATGTTCTGATTATGATAACGAAGACATTCGCGTTACTATTATCAAGTCCGTCACGCTCAAACGAACCCCATCTGACTACTTTCGGGCTGGGCTATGTGCGATGTCACTGGCAGATGATTTCACTGACTGGCAAGTTCAGGCTGGACGGCCCAGACGACTGGATGTCTTGTACAATGATCTTCACGACAAGACTGGATCTGTATATCGAGCATATGCTGACACATGCACTTCCATTGAGGACAAAGAATTGGCAGCGGAGTTCATCGAGTTCGGCATCAAGTTGCGGTTTTTTGAAATCCTCTGCTGGGTGCGCTACAGAGTCTCGACGACTTATGCCTCTGAAGCTGCTGCGCGCTCCGATCTCCTGCCGCAAGGGAAACCGGCCATCATCTACCCGCTTTTCTTTGTTTGGAGGAGCTTCTACCGTTGCCGATACGCAGATCTACCAGCCCTCGCGAATACTATTCTTTCTTCCCAATATTGGAGAGACTTGGCCGAGACAAAAGACTGGCAGCCAACTGATTGGCAGGGACTGATAGCTACGCAGAACAGAAAGCGCACCGCGGCTCCACAGCCTTGTGAAGACCGATCGAAGCGTCAAAGACAGCAGTTGGAATCTCAAGCCGCATCTGAGAGCCTTCCCTCGCTGTCTTCGCACGGTATATCAGTCTCCGATACTCAAACCGTTGGCCCTTGGATCTTTCCAGAAAAAGCCCGGCATGTCACAACGAGAAGTATCTGGCCTCTAGGCTGTAACCTGTTTCCAGACCAGCCGCAGGACCTGGCAAGCACGATATTCCCTGATATGTTACGAGCCACGCCAGCCCCAGATCCTCTTACACCGGGTGGGCTTGACCTCTCGACGCCGGAATTGGATAGTGCAGTAAATGAGATGCTGATGACTCTAAACAACAATATGAACAACCAACCGCCAACGTGACACTGTACGGTCGCAGCCAGTCATGCAACAGAGGGAATTCCGCCCTCGATGCCTTTAGTCCTTTTTCTTTACCATCGCCACCATGATGAGGTCAAGATTGTCCCCAATTATCTTCTTTGTTGCCTGGATATAATGGCATGGGCGTATAGGGTTGTCGGGCTCAAAGCTCGCAGCTCCTTTGAGAGGGAATATCAACAAGTGGCCCGTTGGGTTATGGAGGAGGCCACCTGAAATAAGGTGAAACACCGTGGTCTGGATAACCTTGGGTGTATGTTAGTGTAGCCAAGGCGAATATTGACTGAGCCTACCTTAAACTTGGTCTTGTTTAGCTCTTCCTCTAGCTTGGATATTTGGCTGGATATTTCTGAGCCGCAATACTGCCACCCGGTCCTAGGATTCCTCTGCCCAATCTCTGCATTTCCGTTCTCAAGAACATTTCGGATTGCGTCCAGAATGGTCCGTAAATCCTCTGAAAGATCTTCGCTACTCGTCATGGTAGGTACTACCACAGGCTATGCGATCAGAACGAGGCGGGAGAGAGTCTGGCTGTCGACGTCTCGAAAGGAGGGGCTGGCGGTTCGGTGGGGGTGCCAACCTTAGTTCGGCTGAGAGTCACATGACCGGGACCTTCCTTACGGTACCGTACCGAATCAAGCACCCCCTGCTAGTGCATTTTGTACCACGAAGTTGAGATGCCGCTGTAATATCGTACGACACCAGGGGCAGTTCCTTGACAGGTCCATCAGTCTTCAATACCTCCTACCTAGGTATAGTATGTCCACTTCCCAATTGAGCAGCCTATGGCTGATACATAGGGTAGATAGAACTCAACCGAGAACGCTAGTCCTGATGATGCAAACAATGGCATGCGTAAGGCTTCATGGCCGAACTGGCAACAACAACAACCAAGAGGAGAACAAGCGGTCATATCAGATGGTAAACATCATTTCAAGAGCCCAGGAGACTGGACCCGCATAAGTTTGATGCCAAATTGTCCATCCCATGGCTTGGGCAACAGTTAGACCCAACAAGCTGCAGTTGTATGAATGGGAATATAAATTCAGGACTTCCCCTTGCGAGGAATTTCAATATCAACAACTTCAAACTCCAGTTCGGCTTAACAGAATCCTGTAGCAACCGTTTCCCGCTCTACACATTCGTCATGTCTGGTTCTATTCGAGTCTTCACCACCTTCCCAAAAGAGATGTTTCGTGTAAATAACGGGACCTCTATCCGCCTTCGCGGATACCCAGGGCCCTTGAGGCCTGCACGGAGTTTCGATCTCCTAACAATCGCAGGCAAAGTACTACCTAAGGCGCTTGATCCGAAAACATACGCAGGTAAACGGCTCTATTTCTCAGGCTGTCTTGTTAGCTGACAATGTGTAGCTCCAAATGGCGCCTCAATGCGTCCGAATACCCCGAGGCAACAGGAGCTTGTTCAGAACTTCAGCGGCACATCTATCTGTATCTATGTTGTTCCTGCAGGTGAATCAAGCTCAGCTATTCCCAGATACTATTCTTAGTGAGAGTAGGTACCCAGCTGCCAAGCAACCTGATTCTTGTTCACGAGCACGCGGACCATTACGCCATCCAGCCAAATCAAGAGATGACAGTTGATGGTAAGTGTCAAGCACCTTTTCCAATTAGCTTGCTGTCTATTATTCACATCCGCCCCATGACCAGAGCTTAACGCCAGTGTTACCGACTTTCTGAATTCAAATGGCCAGTGCTTGACACGAGAGGAGTGGTGCCAGAGATATCCTCAGGCGAGCGAGTCCCAGTGAGTCTTGGAAGTCTTGACGGGCCGGGGTATGGTATCAACATCATGGCTGGATAGATGAAGGACACTTGCCAGTGTCATTGGTTGAGATTACATGGATGCATATCTCTTATGTCCTTACGTGGTTTTTCTATAGTGTTCTAGGGCTGAGTATTCAACATACTCTGAATTGGGATTTCAACTTTGGAAGCACTTCACTGCGACAGAAGATCATATCAGCTAGTTTTTGAGAATATTATTTTCACTGAACGCACTGGTTGAGTATAAGATATAGCACACCTGCCTAACGCATATGGAGAGCCAGTCACTCAGTCTGTGTGGGCTTTGGGTACTGCAACAGCCATTCTTCCTTTGTCCAACATTCGCCTTCTGACTGGAGAAAGTCTGTGATCCTATTATTCAAGTCTTTGACAGTTAGTAATCAAACAAGGCACACAATTGGACTTTAGACTCACCATCTACTGTCATCTCCACCCTTGGTTGCAGAGAGTAATGATCCTTGAACTCATGGACAAGAATAAGTCCATCAGGAAGATAGACCCCTGCTTTGCATCAGAGTCTAGGCAGGGACGCAAGCATGCAATGCAACCAACCTGCCGGAATTGAGTAAATGCAAGTTGACGCCCCCCTAAGGGTGCCAACAAGTCTATGCATCTTTGGGGTATTTGGTCGAATCGAAGCGCCATTAGGCGCTACACACCCGCAAGTTAGTCTTTGGCGTTAAGCTGTATCAACGCATATGCTCACGCTTGTATGTGGTTGGGCTGAGTGCTTTCGGCTTGACCTTTCCCCTGTAGGTTAACAGATCAAATAGACCAAGTGGCCTCTGAGGACCAGGGTGCGCACGCAAGCGAACAGCGGGACCATTGTTGATACGGAATAGCTCCTTGGGGATGATGGAATAGGATTTGATGAACGTTGCCATGATGGGCCTGAGGTAACGCTGAACAAGGTCTCCGGAACAGTTGGCGCCACGCGCGCACCCATAGGTATCTCGGGGTTCGGAGAAACTCCCAACCGGCTGTTGTCACAAACGTCTCGATCGGACACTGACCTCGAGCATCATCCACCACGGCTTCGCCATGTTCAGAACCTTCATCCATCGTCCTGCAGTCCGCGGCAACAGCACCTCCAGCAACCGCTGTGCGTTCTCCCTCATGTCCGTTCATTCAACGTTTCCCGCAACGTTATATCGCCTTCAATTCCAGCGCGAGTCCCAGCTCTACGACAAAAAGCAGCAGCAGGGGGAGAGTGAAGCTGGAGATGCGGTCCATGTGTCTCAAGACGGACTTATCTATCCTGCGGTCTCTAGATTGAGTGTGCTAGGCTCCCCCTCACTATTCCGTTCCACTGACACCGCCCCTAGTATCAAACGGAGCGCTCTTCATGCCCAACACGTTCTTCATGCAAGAACTGACTCGCATGTCCTATGACTATTATCTCGACAACCTAGCACAGAGCCAACCGTCCACGGTTCCTCACATTCTGTGTATCCCCAAAGGTTGGAGATGGATTCAAGGCCCTCCAGATAGAAAGCGACGCACTAACCTTGCTATCTAGGCACCTCCATACCAAGAACTCTGGTTCTTTTTCGCGAACGGGATATCCGCTCTCGCTTCTCGCTTCAGCCAACATCCCCCATGTCTTTGAGCGGTATGACGCACTCCGGCCTGGAGATATCTCCAAATCGTCTCGCTAACAGTCATTGAAAGACTTGAACAGCGCCTTGACCGACTTTTATACGAGATCCGGCACAGCAATCCCTGTCGAGAAGTGGTTGGAAGAGCATGAATACCACAAATCTGCCAGCGACGACAAGGATGATTGGATGGGCTATTGAATTTCTTTATCTCAGCTCCACTCCATGGTTGCCGCCTCGGCTGCCCTGTCTCCAAGAGCTCATTGCTGGTGTGCTGCATGGTTGCGCTAGCAGGAAGTCGGTGCTGAATAAAGCATTTCATCAGCGGGGCAGCTCCCAAGGATCAATCAAATATCACTTGCCTTCCCTTTGCCTTTTCCCGTACGTAGCCGGTGCTTCTAACTCTGCTCAGCGTTTCATAACCAAGATACCCCCCCAGCAACCAACTTATCCAATACCAGGGGCAATCAAGGAGCTAGCATGCAGTACATAAGCCTAAGACTCGTCCCCGCTCGTCGCCCCTGCACCGGTCTTGCAAATCTCGGTGTGACCTAGACCTAGATCGATGTGTAGCGGTCCCGGGGCAATGATAGGGTAATCCCGTCGTTCAGGGCTACGACCTGCTTGGTTTGGTCGGACAAAATCGATCTTTCTTCCCCCATCCATCTATAAGGTCCTTACACTGGCTACCCATCTACCCATCTACCCATCGTCGAACTGGTCCATCAATTTCCCGCCGATAGTACTGGACTGCCCTTACGTAACTTACGTTACTTATACTCCTGGCACAGAAGCCTGGCATGTCTTCGTCTTAGACAACGCATACTCAACCTTTAGTCATTGTGAAGCTTCTATGGAATGCGAGTGAAGCTGGACCGCATAGTAAGCTACACCTGCAGTTCCAGTTCGCTCCGACGGGCCTGGCGTTAACATCATGTCGGGACCATTAGGGGTATCATCCAGGGCGGTTTCTGGATTTGGGGACTTCTGATTCTCTTGACTGTCTGTCAAGATGGTATTTTGGTAGGTGCTGTGAGTCTGACTGGAAGGGCGTGATATGGACTACTGTGAGTTGGACGAGGGGCCAGGAAAAGAATGCATGTATGTAGGTAGCATGGATAGGGAATATACTTCATCCACGGATGTGTGAAACACTTTCCATATAAGCGATTAAGGTCCAGCAAAGGGATGGAATTGCTCAGAGGTAGGGATTAGATTAGGTATCGTGATGGATGTGCATCAGGAAGATCAAGTCCTGCCGAATCGAGGTTCCTCCTCCAATATCATAACTTTCAGCACGAACTTGACTCGCCCTCCTCCGATGCCATAATTTGAGCATAGATCTCCCGACCCTGGTGGTAGGTTTCGTGGGACGTCCAGCCGTCCCTAGCCACAACCCCCGACACCGCATCCCAGAAATCCTGCACCTCGTTCCATCCCTCCCCCTGCTCTCGATGTTTTCGAATCTCCTCCGGTGAGAAGTGAATGGGGCACTGTGCCGTAATACCCAACGAGTCCCATTTCCTTACGGAATGTAGTCAGTATCACGCGATTATAGGTAAAGAGAACGGTACGTACTTCTGCACCCTTATTAGTGACTCCCGCAGCGGCAGGATATCGCCCTCCCAAGTACATCCAGCAAAACGAATCGGATCAGTCAGTAACTTCCCATTCGGATATCGGAAGACGCGGTGCAGAAGTGGGTTCCTTTCCGCGGTGTATTTTTCATACAGGTATAGCAGGATCGACTTTGTGACTTTGTCTTTGGTCGTAGCTTGTGTTTCGTTGTCGAGGGTCTTGAAGCTCTCGGGGAGCTGCAGCAGTAGTTCGCCGTTGTAGTCGAGGAAGGACGGATGTCGGCCTTCTAGGAAGAGAGGGGCTGCATATGTGCTCTGCCAGTCGATGATGCTTGTAATGTGACCAGTGTCGTCGACGAAAATGTTCGGGGTACGGAGGTCGGAGTGCCAGAGGTATGAGCCTATGAGGTCGTTCTCCTGTGGGAGGAGGCACGGCGCAACGGTGAGGTATCGTTCAAGGAGGGAGACGTGCTCAGCAGGATCGTTTTGGCTGTGGGAGACGAAGAACGGATCGTCAGGGGAACGTGGGATTACGTGCTTTTGGATCCAGGCTATTTCCCGACGCGCGACGGCTTGAACGTAGTCAATTGCAGATGCCCCTGTGTATTATTAGTCCACTGCCTGATAATGGCAGGAGAGGAAACGCACATGGTCCACGATCGATATCCATTCCCGCTCTCTCGTTGCACCAGAAGTCGGTATCAACATTTGGACCGATAGAGAATCGCTCTGCGATCTTGGTCCTGTCTTCTCCTGATATCCTCTCCCCATGAACAACGGCAGGGCTGGACCGAGGGGTTGCGTCCTTCCTATAGAAAAGACAACCGTACCTGCGCCGATTAGAAGAAGGCGAAGCGATTGTAGAGGAATTTACTCTGAGAATCGCAGCGAAAGTAGCCTCTGCTGGATGGTAACTATATCCTCCATTGTCCGCACCTTTTGCTCAAGCTCCATGTTCTCCCAAACTTCTGCGAGGTTTGTGCCCGGGGCATGTTCCATGATGATGTATTCGGCGCCCACGCTGTTCGTGGAATCCGTGGCAGAGCTCCAGGCAAAGACCCCGGGGACAGGAATCGGAAGAATATTTCGTAACTAATAAGATCGTTAGTCCGCCAGTGTTGACAAAACAAAAGGCTACCTACAAAGTCCATAGTTGCAGCCTCTGACGCCGTTGTAAGGCAAGGCGGTCCAGCGTTTGGGTTTGGAATGCGAGCAATCAGCGTCTTCCCACCTGTCATTGTCAACTTGATCTCCCAGCTTTTCCATGCTAACACAGGGTCCTGATTTAACTAAACTCTCGGCCACTTTCTACAGTTTAAGAATATCAAACTCTTAATACCGTTCTTAAAGCTGCTGCTCTTCGTTCCACGCCCATCGTCCACTAGTGTAGCGGAAGAAATCCTGCGGGTCTCCGATGGCGTTTAATAACAGCGGCTGTTGGCGGGGATGGGTATAAAGTCTGCGGGAGAAGAGCGGCAGTTTATTCTGAACATGCCTCGATGACCTGATGCCAGGGCTCTTGGATAGCAGTAGAGACATAGACATGTTGAAAGCAAACGGGTGAATGTGAAGGATGGGGGTGCTCAAGGTTCAACGTCCCATGAAGTGGTTGGGGCCGGTCACGTGCGTCCTGTCCACATGTCGTCCATAACCCTAAAAGCCTTGGTCACGACTTGATATTTAATGGCTTTCGAGGCTGGTACTCGAAATCATTACTTAGCAAGGTTATTTCAAGATAGCCTACCACATCGTTGTATCTGGCGCGGTAAAACATATTTTCAGGCCAGAGGATCACGGTAGTGTGTGCTAGCCGGACGCACACACCTGCAGATGACGGCTCCGGCAAATGCCAGACGATTCCGAGATGGAAGTGGAAGAGGACATTCTTTGGCCAGAGAGAAATTAGAAATGGCATGCTTCTATCCAGTGCCTGTGAGACTAAAATCGATTGGTCTTTTTATAGATACGCAAATACAGGAAGAACGAGGCATGATACATATGTATATACATTCTGCTTCCACCTCAAATTGTTAGAAGTACTCTACCTCAAGACCGATCGGAAGGCGGCTTTGGTACTATAAATAGGGCCGTACTCTTGCCTCTTGGTGTCGATCGTCGTTATCCATCTTGAAGATATTTCCGTCACGATCCTCCATTCTGGGGGCGCGGCTGCTGAGTAGGCTCTTCGACCCAAGTATCGGCCCACCTGCAGTTGAGGAGATGGTGTTTCTAGTGCCGGGCGCTGAAACGAGTAGAGTACGGGCTAGAAGGAAGGGAGTTCCTGGTTTACAGGCCCTCGAGCGTTCTTTCACGAAGCTAGATTGTAAATAATGACCAATCAATTAAATTAAAGCCCATGCCATCTCGCCGGATGATCGCGCTCACTCGCCTCACTCGCCTGCGAATGCGAATCCGACACGCTGACTTCGACCGTATGCGACACATGCACCGACTTCGATGGATCAACGCCTCTGCCTCTCCCCCCGTTCGTCCCGGACACCCCCTGCAAACTCGTCTGCGACTCCGACCTCTCCGGCTTTCCTGTACCACTCCCCTCCTCGATCCTCTCCCACGTCTTCATCGGATGCGAGTTACTCCTGCTCGCCTTCCGCGAGTTAAACGTCCCCGAGCGATGCGCCGGATTCATATTCCCCGAGTTCCCATACGACGGTCCGCTCGTCCCCCCAGACCCGAAACCCAGCGATGTCTTGACGCGGCGCGGGAGGCCCGATTCAACGATCAACTTCGACAGACACGGGACACTGAAGATGAAGAATGCACAGGTCATCTCGCCGCATGCCCAGAAGAGCAACGGGCCAATGAGGTACATAGTGTCAGTGGTATGCGCGAAGGCAACCGTATGCGCGAGGCGAAAGCAAGCGGCGACCGAGGCAAGGATACCCACGCCGAAAATCACACTGACGCCCGCCTTCTTCTGCCAATTCATCTGCAGATTCCAGATGATGCGTTGCGGGAGGAAGCACATGATGATATCGCTGGCGACCTGGACGCTCGCGGACACGAGCATGACTTTCGGCAGGTTGTAGCATTTCGCGGGGAGGTAGAACTCCCAGATGGCGGCGTGCGGGCGGCACTGCATGTTTAGGAGGAGAATACACAATATGCCCCAGACGGATTGCAGGGTTATTACGGATATGCACCCCCACCAGAAGATGCTGCGGGTGCGGTCGATGGGGACGAAGATGCGGATCCAGTCGAGCAGGATGGCGGTTTTGATGAGCGGGAGGACGGTCGAGTAGCAGCAGCCGTAGACGAGGATGAGCTGAAGAAGCAAGGGTTAGACAGGGTTTGGTATTGATGAGGGAAACGCACGTAAAGAGGTCGGATTAGGTCTTTGTTGTGCAGGTTCCAGGTGTGCACGTAGTAGCCTGGCGTATCGATCAGCGCGTAGCCTGCATATGCGGTTCCCCAGTAGGCGCCCTAGATCGAGGATTAGATTAACTGTATGCAGGGTCTTACAGGGACGTACATAGGCGCCAAGCATCAAGACTGCAGCTGTTAGTGTTGTCATGCGAGCTTAGAGCCAAGTACTCACCCTCCTCGACGCGGATTTTCTTTTCGAGCCATCCTTTCGCAAACAGCCGCAGCAGGAGACAAAGCGTTGAGACCACGGTGCAAAATGTCGTCACCACATATGCAAGGTGATTGCCATTCGACGGATTATCAAAGTTCGGCGTCACACCGTCCGGAGGCGCCAAAGCCGGCTGGGCCAGGAGCGTCGCCAGTGCATCTGGGGATAGCGACATCTGGCTCGCGACACGACATCAAGAGTCTTGGGAGGAAGGGACGAGTATATTTCTGTGGGCATACTGCTCATATACCATCTATCGCATACGGAGTACAATTACCCACTCGGCGAAAACTCTTGATCGCCGGTATGACAGTTTTGACAGCCGTGGCCCGTTATTAATCCACTGGTCCCACTGGGCTTGGACTAGAGACGTATGAACGCGCCTCATAAAAGTCATAAAGCGTGGAATGGATCAAGCCTTGCACCGGACCAGTCCTTCCGTGCATTGTGCCGTCCCCACAGAGCCAGGACCGAACCATTTGTGGTGGAAACCGCCCGCGGTGGAGCGCGCTACAGCACAGCCTAGATCCTGGCGTCGCCTTGGGGTGGCCGCATACTCCATTCGTACGGTATTCGGGGACTAGTCGGTTCGGCAGGTGAGAATCTGAGGCAGAGTTTGTTAGAGGTCCAAGATGCAGAGATTTGGCAGTAATATGCAGGTGTTCGTTGTGATAGCTTCGTCTGACGGCCGTCAAGGCCTCATGTCACATAGCTTCTATGTTTTCCATGGCAACTTGAAGGAGGTGCCAGCGACCGTCGAGGCTCCGCCCCAGTTGCCCCTGACTTAGAGTTGGAGACACAAAAACGGCAAAACGACGAAGGGGCCAAGAACCCATCAAATCCGAAGTTTCCGAACTGCGCCTGGAGCATCATGCCACGTGGTGGACATTCCTGCACCTGAGTCTCCTGCCTCTTTGATCCCAGTGTCAGCTCTAGGAGGCCCGCCCGACTAGTCTATGTTAGCCACATGGCAGACACTCCTGCATCTCCTACCTCTTTGGTCCCGCGTTAGCTCTAGCTTCTAGGTGGCCCGCCTGACTGGTTTCAGCTAGGGCGCCTGGCTGACAAGGGACGAAGCCGTTGCAGCTGTCCGCTGAGCGCTCTCCGCGCAGGAGCCGAGACGTACCGTATGTCCGACATGTAAGTCCGATTTAATTATTGCTGGGCCCGCGGCGTGGCAGCACTTCGATTCTCCAACTTCCTGTGAGACGATTGCGACCATTAAACTACTGCGACCGGTGAGCCATGGCGACCAGTGAGTACCAGTACCATACTCCGAGCAATTGATAGTATCTGCAGACGGACTGTGCTCACCTTTCTCCTAAATTAGACAGTACACATGGACACCCTCCGATCTCTGCCGACGACGCGCATGCGCACGAACACCCCCCGCGCGCAGACCTGCGCAAGATGATGGACGAGAACCCCGTCCCGTCCCTGACCCCCGGACTAATCGACCCTGCTTCCATGGCCGGCGACGCGGCAACGACCCAGGCGCGCGCTGTTCTGGACCGACTGAACTCCGCGCTGGCGACTGGCGATACAAAGACACTCGAGAGCTGCTTCTACGCGGAGCAGGCGTACTGGAAGGATTTGTTGGCCCTAACATGGCATCTGCGGACATTCAGGGGACCGAGTACGATTGCGGCGAGTTTGCTAGAGACGGCGAAGTTGAGAGAAGTTGGGGCATTTGAAGTTGATGGCGAAGCAGTGTTTTTGCCGGCGACGCCTGTTCTTGTATGGACCTATCAACCGTTCTGAAATAAAGTGAACGAGGAGTGACTGACTGCCCGCGTTAGCAATTCATCGATTGTCCTCTTGTCTTCCGAACGAAATCTCCTGCTGGCCTATGCCGGGGAAAGATGCTCCTTCTGCCGGTTGTCGAAGACGCAAACGAGAACAAAATAGCCTGGAAGATATGGATCTTCAGCACGAGGCTCGAAAGTTTAGACGTCCATCCAGAGGACGAGAAACTCTTACAATCACCTCGAAGACCGCTCGACGGTCCTGACTCACCGGACTTCGAGACAGACGTCTTAATCATCGGCGCTGGAAACGCGTGAGTCCAACTCCCAACATCCATCGCTTTGCCTGGAGGTATGGAAGTACTTACTGATCCCGTCTAGCGCCGTCGCCCTCTCTGCGCGCCTCAAGGCCCTCGGCGTCGACAGCGTCATGGCAGAGCGGAACCCTCTTCCTGGCGATAACTGGGCGCTTCGATACGACTGCATGAAGTTCCATATCCCGACGGCGTTCTGTGATCTTCCGTATATGTGTGCGTCAACTGATACTCTCCTTCTCGCCCTTACATCGTCAGCTAATCCAGACACAATAGGCTACGGCGAAGAACTCCAAACTCCTCACCTGCTCAGCCGCCAGGACCTGGCAGACCAGGTCCGCCGATATGTCGAGACATTCAACCTGAACGCCATCTATTCCGCGCAGATCCAGCGGACGGAGTACGACGAGAGCACGAAGCGGTGGAGCATCACCTTCAACACGCCATCCGGACAGCGGCGCGCTATCTCGAAGCATCTCGTCCTCGCAACGGGGATAGGCTCGCAGAAGCCCAATATGCCGAAGATCGCAGATGCGCATCTCTACAGAGGCATCAGCATACACTCATCCGCATACAAAAACGCAACCGTGCTAAAGCAGCAGGGCGTCAAGACCGTCACAGTCATCGGCTCCGCAAACACCGCCTTCGACGTGCTAGCAGACTGCCACGCCGCCGGCCTCAGTGCAACAATGAACGTCCGCTCGCCAACCTACATTGTGCCCCTCGAGTACGTCTGCCACCCGCTCAGTCTCGGAGCGTATGATTCTGGCGTTGAGGCGGCCGATAAGTTGTTCCTCAGCTTGCCCTCTTTCGTAGACGGGCAGTTGGCACGCGGGCTGTTTGCGATGTTCGCTTCCAACGAGCCGGAGCGGTATACTGCGCTCAGAAACGCCGGCTTCCCGGCAATGGATAGTGCAGACCCATCTTGTGCGCTTATGCATAACCTTTTGGAACGCGCAGGTGGGCATTATGTTGACGTTGGCACGACGGACTTGATCGTGGAGAAGAAGGTCGGCGTCAAGGCAAATGTGGAGCCTACTGGATATACGGAGACGGGGCTGCGGTTCTCGGACGGGAGTGTGCTTGAGACGGATGCGGTTATTTGGTGTACGGGTTTTGCGGATGGGGATGTGAGGACGACGGCGGCGGAGATTTTGGGCGGCGAGCCTAATACGGACGGGGTCGTGAATGGGGAGAAGAAGCATATTCTGGCACCTGCCGAGATTGCTGCGCGTTTGGATGGGACTTGGGGTGTCGATGCGGAGGGCGAGATCCGGGGCATGTGGAAGCGGCATGGGGATGCAGAGAATATCTGGGTGATGGGCGGGTATACACAGCAGCATCGGTGGCATTCGCGGACGCTGGCGCTGCAAATAAAGGCGGAGTTGGAGGGATTGTTGCCGGAGGCTTATAGGGGTACTGCGACGAAAGAGTCAAATGGATATCTGTAACTTTCAGTTATCTGTGTACATAAATTTTGATAGGTATAGGTTATACGCTTCAGCAGCAAGTTCGCTTTCAGTGGACAAATCGTAGATGAACCTGGCATGGAACAATTGAACCAACCTTCACATAATACAACATGGGCGTCAAATTAAACCGCGACCCGTTCAGAAACGCGAAGGCAAAACCGCATGGAGTTCGTCAAGCGCTCCCTGCAAAGCGATCAGATCGACCGGCATCTGAAGCCATGCATCATCGACGATTTCGTTGGCTGTTGCCCTTGCCTCCGGATCCCAGGCAAGCATCCTCCGAATAAACTTCATAAACAGATCTTTCTCTTCGCCGGGGGGTATCACTGTAACGAAGTCTTCGAGGGATGTCCGAGGGATCGGTGCTTCTGAGAGTCTCCAGTTGCCTGTCGCGTTGTTAAATCAATCCTAAAAATTCTTTCAGAGCGAATGAAGACGAGGAAGGGGATCGGACGAGCTGGTACACCACTGACCTTTCTCGTCAAAATATGTGCCGAATAGGGGACTTTTCTCGAGCATGTACAGCGGCGGCGGCCCAAGGTAACCAATATACTGGGCCAGCGCCATCGGAAGGACATATTGATTATTGACACGGTCCATCGGATCAAAGAGGTTCTTGCCTTCGAGAAGTTCCAGAGTCTATCATAGTGCCTTCTGTAAGCAATATTGCGGGTTAGAAATTGGACCTTGCTTACCATCACTCCAACAGACCACATATCAACCTGAATCATCCATGGTATTTGCAAAAGTACCTCCGGGGCTCGATAAAAATCCGGCATAATCCAGTCTTGATTAACGCGGTCGTCGAGGTAATCCTCTCGCACTTGGCCAAAGTCCGTAAGTATTGGGGTGCCACCGAGCTGTATGAACGGTTTTCGAGAGGGGTAGACAGGGACGCCGCAGTCGCTGATGATGGGGATGCTCGGGTCTCGCAATTCCTGCTCCTCGATATCCCTGAGGCTGCTCTCGTCCTCAAGCTCGGTGAGGACATTTTGGGGTGTGATGTCTACCAGTCTATAAGTAATCTGACATCCCTAGATTCGGGTGGTAATATCTTCATACCTGTATGAATGAGATTGCAGCTTGCATGCAGCCAGTTTATAGCGAAGAAAAGCCGGGATATCAGTGATTTCACCAACAGCTTCGGCACTTTTCCGTTGGGAAATGTTTCTTGGAGCAGGCGCAGGCTGTGGCCCTGGGGCTTGGATGCGATGCAGTAATGGCGTCCGGAAGAAGTGTGAAGCTCGAAGATGTCGGTAGCAAGGCGGGTGAAGAAGCGACCCGGATTATTCTTGGTTTCAGCCAGCTTTTGCATGCGTTGGAGAATGTTGACCTCGTTGAGCACTGGCGAGGGCTGGTTGTCATTTTGTTCTATGCACACCTTGAGCGAAGCATACTGCTTAGTCCTGTGAGACCTAGTCAGTCATTGAATTCACTACTAGGCATATTCTTAGACCTCTCATCCCGGGCAAGCCACACTGTGGAGTAGCCGCCATAGCCAAGCTTCGCAATAATCCGGTATCGGTCGTTGAGAGTGTCGCCAATGCGGACTGGATAGTATCGTTTCTTGTGGTAGGAGGGTAGTGTTTGCTCTTCGATTCGTGGGCCGTTCCCCATATTGCTGGAATGTCGGACAAACGAGAGAGCAGCAACAGCAGCTGGAGACTTCGGCCAGGACGGCGCAAGACGGTAGAAAGACGTGAGCTTCAGCCGCATGTCGGAGGTGATGAGAGATGAAATGGTGATGATGGGAAACACTGGTTGACCATGGGAGAGAAGAGCGGAAGAATGGTTGCGCCGCCACCAGCTCAGCAAGGACAGTGCAAAACGCGGATTTGCACAATCTGGAGCGAATTGATATCAACAATGACGAAGAATGAATCGACTGATGGAGCTGGGTATCCGTCTAGGTCATCGGCTTTGGCCATGTTCAGAAACAATTTTGGAAGACTCGATGGATGTTCTGCTCCCGTTTACTACTTTCTGAAATGCTGAGGCGACGAATTGGAGCGCAGGGCAAAGACCGTTAAAACAAGATCTCTAGCTTTCCAGAGAATGCGGCTAGCGAGCAGGCTGTGTCTCAGGGAATCTGCTGCTCGGACCTTGGATGTCGCTTAAGAGGAGAATAAGTGTTGTCAATCAGCATCATCTGTATTGCTGTGAGTGCTCTGATCGGTGGAAAGTTCGTTTCCACTGTGTGGGTGGGTCCGGGGAACAGACGGGTTGTGCCTGATGTTTGCACTGTTTGCCTGCTGTGCTGTCCCCAAGACAAAGAAGCGCCCTCGACGTTTCCTCTCGTTCTTTCTCCCCTTGTTCATCATCCTGCTTTCAAACCTCAGTCCATATCACCTCATTGACTGCTAAGATGGCTGCCAGTTTATCTGAGCTCCCAAGTATCGCCGAAATCGAAGCCTCAACCGACCTCCTCAGCGACCCCTGCCGATCCGTCAAGGTCGTCCGCGTAAGAGAGCGCTTCGCCGTGAAAGTAGGCCTCACCATCGCGCCGCTCGAAGCCGAGAACAGGAAGTTTGTGGCTGCGAATACCAACATCCTAGTTCCAAAAGTCCACGCTGATTTCATCGATCCCGATACCCGAAAACGGTACATCATCATGGATCATCTCCCCGGCACCGATCTGGAGAAGTTAGCGCCATCCCTTTCGGAAGCCCAGAAGAAAACAGTGGGAAAACGCATTCGAGAAGCACTAGACGAGGTGCGACGGATTCCTTCCCCGGGTTACTTGGGGAACTTGAACCGTATGCCTTACTACGAGGGTGTGCTGTCTACCCTTGATAATGACCCGAGAATATCAGGGCCGTTTGAGAACGAAGATCAATTCAACAAAGGCCTCTTGAAAGCCCTAGGGCAAAGGGAGTCGCCGCATTACGTTCGTTTACTCACTGCACCCATCCAACATACGCTCAGTGGACACAAAACGGTCTTCGTCCATGGGGATCTCCAACCGAAAAATGTGATTGTTGAACAACACGGAGCGTGCGAGGATGGAAGTCCAGATTATCGGATTACACTGATTGACTGGAGCATGGCGGGATGGTATCCTGAATACTGGGACTACTGCAATTCAACGGTCTACTGCCAAGCAAGACCCGCGTGGCTTGAACTGGTCCCGCATATCTTCGATGAGTATCCATTGGAGTACCTCATGATGCGGATTTTCTACACGTCGATGTTCTACTGACAGCAGGGTCACGAGCCCTAACGGGCCGATATTATGTCCACGTCATGTCGGGCTAATGTTGCAGGCGATGAAGCTCACAAGAGCCCCGCGGAACGTAGGCTAGTAGATCAGACCTCTAGCACGTCAACTAATAACTACCAGTTACTAAAGAACTAATGCGACGCAGATACTTGCTGATTCGGCTGCAGCTATGACTGGCTGAACCCTACGTGCCTTGTAGGCGTATCGCGGGACCCTCTCTTACCCACATTTATGGCCGGTCTCCAGCGCGCCAGTACCCAGCCCTATTGTCACTGCTTGCTAACACCGCGTCCCATCTCCCGCCATGCCGCGCATCTACCTCTGTCCACAGCTTGCTACCACTGTGTATGCGGCGAGGCTGTGACGGGCTTGAGACCTTTATTCCGAGGAATTGACTGAAGGCTTCTAAGGTTTGAGGTACCTACGCCACTACAGAAGACCTCATCACGATGTCTTCGTTTCATCTTTGTCTCCTTACCTTCTCGACCGTTGATTTCACAGGTAAATCTTTGCTGTGGCTCTTTGTGCGTGGATTTTTCCCTCTGCCTCACGACTGCAGGACAGGGGGTGCATACCTGGCTGGGTACCTGGATCGTACTCCTAGGCAGCCCGGCTTCTTCGTCCATGGTCGAAAGACACAATTGCTTTGACTTCCAACCGCGCTGGCGCCATCCTGATCGCGGCCTTGGTATCCAGTCACCAATCGGAGAGTTGCGGAGAAGTACCAAGCTCTGCTCGGTCAAGAATGTAGGCAGCCAATCTAGGCAGTGGATGCAAACCGGCTACGATCTAGAGATGAACCTTGTGAGTTTATATATCTGGCAGTCTGGCAAGCATCTAACAAACCTATGTAACAGCTTATGCGAGATCCAACTACCTAGGGAGTAATAATGCGACCATGTCCAAACCCCAGAAATAACCATCCCAAATACCTAATAAGCATACTCGGCATTCACAACATCATACCTCTTCCCCATAACATTAAGCACATACCTCGTCTCCGCAGAACTATACGTCGCCTCAATCACCGCATCAATATTATAATACTCCTTCCCATCACTCCTCTTCACAACCGTCCTCTCCAGATCAACCTGCGGAATCGCAGACAGATTCGCCTTCAGCGTAACAAGCACCTTCGTCCCACCATTCCTATGCACCGGCGCCCCTTCATCCTCCGCATTCGCCCACACATCCGTATACATAAACCCCGGCCGCCCCTTCGCTACCGGAAAATCCTGGTAAAAGTCAATCGGAATCGCCTTGTCCTCTTGTAGCGTTGCGCCGCGCTCCAGGAACCAGAACATCGCATGCACGCGGTAGTGGCCGTGCCGCGTGCACCAGTACCGCTTGGACTCGTCGTGCCCCTTCTCAACTCGATACGGCGTGTGCAGCTCAATACCGTAGTGTTTCCGCGCCTTGCGCGAGACAACGTCGACGGTCCGAAGCGCCTTCGTCCTACTCAACCCCATCATGACAGCGCCCCGTACAACAGCCGTCCACGCATTCGGCGGCTGCAGCACCTCAACACTCTTGAGAGCATCGCGCAGCCGTTCCTTGAGGTACGCGTTCTGCCCGAACCCGCCGACCAGCAGGACGGCGCGGATGGAGATGCCGTCGATGCCGGAGCATGCGGCGATCTGGTCCTGCACGTATTTGATTACCTTTAGAATGAGCGGCTCGAATATAAAGTGCATTTCGGCGGGGGCGATTGTGATTTTTCCGCGTCGGATGTTGAGCGTGCTGTTGTTGGACAGGCCCGGGACGGGGATTATGTAGCCATTCCCGCCGTCGATTGTTGGGGAGTATTGTTTTTTGACCTACGTTTACCTGGTTAGCATGTTCCTTCTTGGATGGGATGGGGTTGGGAGAGAGAGAAGGGGAAGGGGATGGGACGTACGATCGATTCGAACCGCTCCACGGCCTCCTGGAGGACCTCGTCGTCCCACCCCTCCTCGCGTCCAAGCTTGCGGGTGAGGAAGTCTGCGAAGCGGCGGTTCAGGAACGTCGAGCCACAGGGGCCCCCTGTTCCCGTCGTGACCTCTTCCACCTTCAGGATGGGTGTGAGCTCGATGATCCGGTATGAGATCAGATCGACGGTCCCGCCGCCGGCATCACAGAGGACAAAGCTATCGCCGACTTTGAGACCGTGCGGGTCCAGGCCCTGGATTGCGTAGATGGCTGCTGCTTCGGGCTCGGAGACGAGATGGACCACTTGCTCTTTGGATTCGGGGGTGTTAGTGCTGGTGCTCGTGCCGGAGGAGGCCTTCCTCCACGCCTTCAGCGTCTTGTCCTTCGCGGCCTCGGTCCAGATGGCTGGGACGGTGAGCGAGAACTCGAGCGGGATTGTGCGCAGTAACGCGGCGCCGAGTTTCTGCTCCAGGCTGTACATGATGTGTTTGTGTATCGCGGAGAGGTAGTCCTCCGCCAACTGGTCGGGGGTCTTGTCGCCCCAGGACTTTGTCGAGACGAGGGGGTTGCTTTCGTCGAGGCCGCTGCACCACACCACGTTATCAGCCATTCTCAACATGACGTTAGTGAGGAAATGGAGATGAGGGCAGCGTACAGCTTAAACCACTGATACCGATCGACCAGCCCCGGGATCTGGAACCCCCATTCGACTTCGCCCTTGGTGAGTGGATCGGGCGACTTGGTGTAGCGCAGCTCGGTCGGGACCTTGACGCTGCTGATGCCTTCTTGGGTGCCGGTGTGCGAGGGCCATGATTCGATGACGGAGATGTGGTCGGGCTATACAGACCGTACATTGTCAGCTTCAACCCTCCATCTCCTAAATAGGTATTGGAAGAAAGATGTGAGGACGCACCCTCCTCGTCTCCGCCCACGCGACACCCGTAAAGGTCGTCCCAAAGTCAATCCCGATGATGATCTTGCGGTCGTCGAGCGAGAGGGAGTCGAAGGTCTTCTCCATTTTCTTTGTCGCGCGCAGCAGTTGTTCGAGGGAGGGCGAGGTGAGGGGTTTCGCCATAAGCAGTTTTTAAGGTAAGGTGGATTACAAACGAGAAGATAGGTACCAAAAGAAACCGGGTGAGAAGATGACGGTAATAAGGCTGCGTTTGTCCGTAGGAGAGCCTTGTCGTGTTTCAGCCTCTGCAGCTGTTTGCGTTCTACTTGCTCACTGTCATAGGTGACCCCACCTTTTCCAGACCCTGTTTCTCTCCTCGCCAGGCAGAAAGCCTCGATCTCATCACAGCCTATCGGCTATAATTCTCGATACTGCAGAGCTTCGTGCCCGGGTGAAGCTCCAATGGCACGCTAGAAGAAGTGGCACGTTGGTCTTGGACTTGGACAGGCTAGCCCTAACTAGTGAGGTGCCAGGTCCTGCAGCCGCGCCCCGGGCAATCGGAGCTCTGCTAAGCCCGCGATGTATCTGCCTTGCGCCTCGTGCCCCGCATGAGGTCAGTCCACGCGTGGTTATCTGCGGCTAGAGGTGCGTGGTCGATCGATCGTTTTATTTTCTGGGAGACTGAACTACTCAGACCTCCGTCGCTGCTCGAGCTGATTATGGCTGAGGTTGCTGCCGCTGCTGCGATGGCGTCGGCGCCATCGCTGAAAAAGAAACAAGCTGTTGTTCCGATTAAAAAGGTCGAGGCCAAAGAGAAAGAGAAAGATAGGCCGCAGGTGGATAGGAATGAGTTGAAGTGAGTCGCTCAACATCGTACAGGTGTACTCCATACTAACCGCCAAGGTCCAACTCCACCAGCAGCACATCCAAGGAACAACCCAAACCCACCACCTCGCAATCCAAACCGAGGTTAGAAGCAGAAGCAAAAGAGGAAACAGAAGCGCCAGCCACCACCGAGTCCGAAAAGAGCAACGCAAACCCCTCCGTCGACAACCCAACAATCACCTCCCTCCTGACCGAAAACGCATCCCTCCAATCCCAACTAACAACCCTCAAAACCGCCCTCCACGACGCCCAAAACCACATCTTCAGTCTGCAACCACACACTCAAACCCTCACCAACAGCGACGCAATAAACGCCTTCCAGTCTCTCCACACCGCAATCGAAACCTGGGTGGACCAGTATCTCGCCGACAGCCTCGACGAAAAGCAAGTCGCCGTCGACGCCTTGCACGTCGACGATATCCAGAACCTCATGAACCTGATCCCTTTCGAGGCAAAAGCAGCGTTTACGAATGTCGCGGGTACGGACGTCGATATTATCCAGGCTGTTATACTGCGGTTCTTGGTCGAAAGTATATTCAACCAGGACTTTTACACGCCTCTTCCGCGGGGCGAGCGGGAGTTCGTCATGGGCGTTGAGCGGGCGATGAGAGTTCTTGAGCCGAGGCGTGGTATGCCTCCTTTTCTCTTCTCTTCTTTCTTCCCCTACCTATCTGTAATCACTATACTATGCTAATTCGTGCAGACATACGCACAATCCGCCATTGGCACATAGAAACCTACACGGCTGCCTCGTCACGTCCCGGCTTCGACACGTACGCGCAGGACCGAATGTGGAGTTTAACAGTGCACATGGTGAAAATGCTGCGTGCGTTCGCGCCGTCCACGGACCCGAATACACTGGCCAAGAGCTTTCTGGAGAGCATTACGAAACCCGCCGCCGAACTGGCGCGGCGGTTCCATCTTTGCTTTGACGAGTATGCGCTTGAGTGGTCGGGGTATCATGATAGTGAGAAGACGGCGAAGGATGGGCTGGGTGTTTTTGAGAGGGAGGTTAGGCAGGGGCGGTTTGGGGAGTGGGATTTTGTGAGGGTTGGCGAGGGGGGCAAGTACCTGAGGGAAGTGCCGATGGTCGAGAAGGGGAAGGGAGAGGGGTATGAGGAGGGTGAGGAGGAGACGAAGGTCAAGGTTCGGTGGCTGTTTGATATGGCGCCGAGGCTGGTGTTCCGCAAGCTCAAGGTTGATTCGTGGGGGGAGGGCAAGGTGCTTGTTAAGCCCAGGGTCTTGGTGCGGGTTAGTGAGCAGAAGAGGGTGTCTGGGGGGTCGGCGAAGAAGGTGGTCAAGAAGGCTGCTGGAGAAGAGTATAAGACGGTCTTGGGGGCTGTGCAGGGGTGGTTGCAGAGGCAAGAGTACTATCTCGAGAAGGAGAGGGAGAGGAAGGAGAAGGAGAAAGCCTTGGGGAAGCAGGTGGGTGGGTTCTTTGGCAATTTGTTCTAGAGCAGTCAGTTCTTGCTTTGGTTTAGGTACCTAACGACATAATGATAAGCTATTCATATGACAAGATATGCTATTCATATGACAAGATATGCTATTCATATGATTCATCTGAATGATATTCTGGCAAATTATCCGTATGAAACTTGCAGCTTCCCTTATGCATCGAATTCCCGAACCGGCGGATCTCATTGTAGTCGCTCAGACATGCCCAGCAGAACTCGGAATGGCATTTGATACCTTGACCAAAGAGTCAGCGAACTTCCACAGTAGAGCGACTGCCTATCGCCGGCACCGCCGAGTATGCGACCCCCACTTCCCCAGGCAGACCCAGCAGAACTCTTGTCTGCATTTGATGCCTGTACTGGTCAATACGTCGGCGATAGGCAGCGGACGGCAAGAAAGAAGAGGGAGACTAACAGGTCATATGGTCGCACCCAGCATTCTTCTCAATCGGCCACTCGCATCCGGGACAACGCTTCGTCGTGTTCTCCACCGTTTTCACGGACAGCTCGACCTCGCGCATCCTCCGCTTCAGCATCTCGATTTTCTCCTTAAAATCGTCTTTCACCTCCTCTTCGTAGCTCTCCTCTTCCGACCTCTCCTGCTCCTGCAATCGTGCTGCCTCGGCTTCCGCTTGAGCCTGGAGCTTCTTCACCTCGCGCACCCGCGCAGCCTCCTCCTCCTGTCTCTTCCGCGCGGCCTTCTTCTGTGCCTCGTGGAGGTTGCTCTGTCGTGACTGCTCCTCGTTCTTCAGGCGGTACCTAGTTATCTTCCTCAGCGGTCTAACATGCGTGGTTGTTCCCTCGTTCTTCGCTTTGATGGATTTGTAGCTATCCGGGTCCCAGAGCAGTGCATCGTACTCGTCGCAGGTAAACCCGTCGTGCCATTTGATGGCATGCTTGAAGCACGATTCGGCGGTACAGTTGTAACATTGCACGACCGGCTGCTCGGCGCCTGGTTCGTGGAGCTGCCCAAAGTCGCACTCGAGACACCAGATGAAGTTCTTGTCGGCATTGACCGCGTGTCGGAAGGAGAGTCTGTCGTATCTAAAGTGTGTTAGCCTCGTTCGGGAATATTGATGAAGGGCATTACCGAATGAACGTGTCCTGGTCAGCGAACCGCTTGATATCCTCATGGATAAACGGTGCCTTGCACTCGGGACACTTGATCTCGTCCCAGAATTTGGTCTCCAAGTCGTGCTTGATGCTCTTCGACAAACAGATGTAGCAAACCGACGGCGTATGCTGGCAAGCGATGGATAGTTTCTCTGGCGCCTTGACACCAGTAGCTGAAAACGGTTCGAGGCAGATGATGCATGCCTCTGGTTCGTTCTTCGGTGTCTTCATCTTCTTCACCTTCTTCACTTTCTTCTTTGGTTCGGCGGGCGCTCGCTGCTTGCCGGACGACTTAAGATAGTCCGTGTAGAGTGCTTCAAGTTCCTCGTCGACCTGCTGGAAGAAGTCCTCGGGGCTTTTGGGGCTTGCAGCTGGCTCGCCTTGCTGTTCAGGTTCAGGCTCAGGCTCCGGCTCCGGTTCTGGCTGTTTCGTCTTCTGCTCGCGAATTATCGACGTCGGGGCTATACCAAACTGCCGTCCAAACACCGGGATGCCCTCCGTCCCATCCGAAAATATAAGGAGGTCTGCATCGGGGCCAGCCGTAGGTTTGGGCGTAGAGCTCGCGGTTGCTCTTTCTTCCTCCTTTGGCATGGCGGTATGCACCGCATCTGTGGTCGGCCTCGATCCATCCAGCTCCGAAACCTGCGAGTCTGTGGCCGAGAGCTCCGCGATTGAGTCGGCTTCCTTAGGTGTTGTCGACTCCGTAGGGCTGCTGAGCTCCGCAACAGCCGGCTGGTTCAGTTTCGAGATGTGCAGCGTTGACTGGGGCTTCTTGCTGGATAAAGTCTCGCGAGCCTCTTTCTTCGTGTTTGTGACGACCGCCCTCGATCCGGACTCGGGGGCTGGCACGGCCCAGATGCTGTGGTAGGATGCGGAGTGCTTGTCGCCGCCGAGGAACTTGACGAATTTGCGCATTCTGACTTTGAGCTGTCCAGCTCTGAGGTGGAGAAGTGCCGCAAGATGAGTTCAATGTAAGTACGGTACCTTGTCTTCCGCAAGCAAGGGTATCATCATACAAAGGCGAAAAGGAATGGGGCAACTGTCGAGACTCCCGTCATTTCCTTGAGATTGAGATAGCCAAACGGCCTTGTTAGAGGCGAAGCAAACGCCCAGCTCCAGCGCCCCTCTTCGGGCCCGAGCTCTGGCGCCGGAGTCAGCCTTGCAGGACTGGATCATGGAATTGAACACGAGGTGCGTTGGCGGAGGGGTCGGGCAATCGCAGGGTGTCTCGGGCTTGGAGGGGGCTGAGTGGTGGGTGTCTCACCAATCATTCTGCACGTGAAGGCGCAAGGAGCGATTGGATGAGGCCACTGCTACTGACCAAGATAATCAAAGATGAGGCTCTTGAATGCGAAAATAAAGATATTTTGTTCATCACTACCATGTACATGCAAATAGATATGTAGAGAATCTCGCTGAATGACAAAAAAATAGTAAAGGAAGAGAAAGAAACTACCCCAACAACCCCGTAGCCAACGACTCCAGATCCTCCAGCGTCTGGATCTGCTTCTCCCCGGAATCCTTCTTCTTCTTCTCCTGCTTGTACCAAGGCACCGCCTCGGGCTCTTGCACCTTCGCCCTCTTGCTCGGCCGGGGGACCTCCTGTTCCTCCTCCGACTGCGAGTACCCACCATCCATGTCCTGGTCTTCGTCAAACGGAACAAGCTGCGCAACACGCTCCTCTTGCTCCTCCTCCGCCAGCAGCTCTCGCTCCCGTTGCTTCCGCTTCTCCTTCTTCTCGCGCTTCTTCTGCTTAGCAACGACCTTGTCCTCCATGTCCGCGCGCTGGGTGCGTGCAGCCTCCTCAGCCAAGAACCGGGCCTGCTGCTCCTGTGCGTCGCCGCGGGCCTTGAACGCCTCTTCGTCTTCCATCTCGTAGAGCTCGTGTGCGTTTCCTTCATCGTCGTAGACCAGCTTCGTACCCTTGCCCTTGAACTTAAGCAGCTTCTTCTTGGACTTGAGCAGTTTCTCGCGGCGTTTGGAGTCGACGACCAGGGTGTCTTTGTCGCTGATTTTAACGACCTTGGGGTCTTTCTTGTCGTCTTCTCCTTCAGCCTCTGAGTCTGAGACATCGGAGTCGGATTCGGAGCTGCCTTCGGCATCGAGAGCTTCGTCTCCCGCCTCGAAGCGGCGTTTGACGGAAAGGAAGTCCTCGTCTTCGTCTGCTTCTTCGGTGTTCTTGCTGTCGGCTATCGTGCCGTCATCGTTGATGAGCTTAGAGTAGTGCTCCGCCAGCACGTCTTGGTTTCGTCGTTCGAACATGCGGTCGTACTTGGTTCGCACTTCCTTCTCCTTGGGTTGTTTCTTCTTCTCGCCCTCCTCATCGGAGTCTTCGTCGCCGCTAGACAGGTACGCTGTGCCGCGAGGGGCGTTCTTGCGTTCCTTGGTATCGTCTCCCTTGATGAACTTGATTCGAGGCGCTCCAGGAAGCCCGAGACTCGCGGCGAAATCATCCAGCTTGAGCTCCTTCAGGTTGAACGTCTCCTTGTCCTTTTGGACGTAGACAGACTTGACGTAGGAAATGAATGCTTTCTGTCCGAGATACTTGAGCTCGGGATCCTTGAAGCACATGTTTTGTAACTGGTTTTTGATGCTTTGCTGTTTATTTGCTTTGACGTTGATCTTCTCCAGCGTAACCTTCTTCTGCTCAAGACGTCGTAGCATTCCCTTCTCTTCGCTTGGATCAACGAATAGCACTGCTCGGCCATCGCGTTCGTATCGCGCCGTTCGTCCGACACGGTGGATGTATGTGTCTGCGTCTTCGGGGCAGTCCAGCTGAATCACCCAGTCGACAGCCGGGAAATCCAACCCTCGAGCGGAAACATCAGTCGAGAATAAAACGGCATGCTGCGCTTGCGAGAATCTAGTTGTGATATCGAGTCGTCCACCCTGCTTCTGGCGACCGTGGAGATGAAGTAAAGGAATACCGGGCTGCATATGTCGGAAGGATTCGTAGACAAAGCGGACCTGCTTTCCAGATGACATGAATACGATGGTTTTTGACTTCAGATTACTCCGGATAAAACTCCACAGCGTATCAAGTTTCTGGGGAAGAGGTGTGACGACGTAGTGCTGCTGAAGCTTCGACGGCGTCGCAGAAGACGCAGCCTCGTGAACGGCCACATACTCGGGGTCTTGCAGACTCAGTCGAGCCAGGTCGGAAACCTTCTTCGTCTGTGTCGCACTGAACAAAAGCGTCTGGCGCTCCGGCGGCAAGTGTCCGATTATGGCGTCAACGGTCTTCTGAAAACCCATGTCCAGAATCCGATCCGCCTCGTCCAACACCAACATTTGGAGGTTGTGCGTCTCAAAGAAAGCCGTCTGATCCAAGTGCTGCAGCATTCGTCCGGGTGTACACACGAGGATATTCATTCGTCCCAACCTCTCCTGTTCCTCCTTCAAACTCTTCCCTCCAATAACCAGACCCGCCGAAAACGCATGATACCGACCGATTTTGCGGAGAACCTCGAAAATCTGAATCGCCAGTTCGCGCGTCGGCGAGATAATCAGCGCACCAAGACCATCGTGTTCCGCCCATTGTCTCCGATATAGGTTCTCGAGAACGGGAACCAAGAATGCCAGTGTCTTTCCGCTTCCCGTCTTTGCGGCACCGAGAACGTCTCGACCTTTGATCGCATGGCTGATCGCGCGAGACTGGATGTCCGTCAGAGTCTTGAAGTGCGACGAAGTGAGGCCGGACAGGGTCGGCTCTGATATGGGCAGATCGGAGAACGATTCGTATTTTCCTTTCAAGTCGAGCTCTTCGACTCGCTTGACGAGCGATGAGAGGTCCCCCTGGACTCGCTTGCGCTTCAAGTTTCCGGATCGATTAGATGGTTTCGCTTGCTTGCCATTCCGAGGCCCATTTGAGGGAGCCATGATTATCGCAGTGAGCTGATCTGATTCTTCTGTCGGTCGATGGAATCTCGGTCTTCAGTAGAAACAGACGGAGGGCGGTCAAGGAACTTTTTTTCTGCCGGGCGGACGCCGGCTGAGTCAGCGCTGATAAGGACGATCGCGATAGCCTCAAGACGCCGCAGTTCGCATCCTCAAGATTTACGATAATGAACGTTGTCGTTACTGTTATACGCAATTCCTCTTGATACCCTCTCGCTATATCTCGCTTATTATCTGCAACGCATCGTTTCCTTCCCCGCCTCCACAATGTCAGACGAACAAGATGCGCTCGATGCTCTCGAGCGAGAGGCCTCCGATTTCACCAAGGTGAGTGCAGTTTCACATGAACATAGACTTCTTGACTTGCTAACAACCTCAGGATGCCGAAATTGATCGCATCCGAAAATCATTTGTTCTAGATGCGTAAGACTCTCCATTCGTCCATTCGGTACATTCGAAAACTAATTTCCTACTACAGCTACGCCGTCCTCGACCTTCAGCCCGGAGTAACAGAGAAAGACATCAAAATCCAATATCGAAAAAAGTCACTACTCATCCACCCGGATAAGACAAAAAACCCCGGTGCACCAGATGCCTTCGACCGCCTCAAGAAAGCGCAATCGGCGCTGATGGACAAGAAACAACGAAATTACCTAGACGAATGCATCGCGGACGCGCGGCGGCTTCTCATTCGCGAACACAAGTATACGCTGGACTCACCGGAGTTGAAGACGGACGAGTTCAAGAAGGAGTGGCGGCAGAAGACGGTGCACGTGCTGCTGGAGGAGGAGGCGCGGAGGCGGAGACAGGCCAAGGCGAAGCTACAAGAGGAGGGACGAGAGAGGCGGAAAGAGGAAGAAGAGATTGAGGAGCGAAAGCGGAAACGGGATCAGCAGCAGGCATGGGAGAACAGCCGCGATCAACGGATTGGGAGCTGGCGGGATTGGCAGAAGGGGCAAAAGAAGGAGGGCGAGAAGAAGAAGAAAAAGATGAAGGTGCTGGGATGATGTTATATCAGCGTGAAGTACGCACCTCGGAAGCCATGACCCATCCGCAGGTGCAGCGACGGCAGTCTCACTACTATTACTCGGACAGAGGTTATGCAATAATGTTAAAATCGTCAATGATTTCACCTCAGGGGGATCAATTGTCCTACGCTCCGCTTCTTCTCCCGCTGCTTGCAGAGCTTGAGCGCTTCGGCAAGAGTTTCGTCATCAGAGGCTCATCTCCCAAAATGACTTTATTGGGCACGGTCGGTCTTTTGTCCTGTCATTCTGCCCGGTAATGATCTTTGACTATTCCGTTGTTGGGGATCTTCTGGTCCCAGTCCTGTATGAATAATGAGATCTGCGCAGCGTAACCCTTCGTTCCTTTGGCGCTTACTCCGATATTCGTTCTTGGTAGAAGGCGAGATCCGGGTTTCTTAGAATCATAGTGGTCGCATCCGCCGTTACAATCCAGAGCCTTGTGCTGGCTCACTTGCCGGATATATATTGTCAGCCAATGGTGGAGATTGCTTAGTTTGATGAGGAAGCGCTGCAGCGCTTTGACAGCGCTTAGGCGCCTTAGGCAGTCTTAATTAAAATACTGTAACGCCTACCACTAAATTACTTGCTTGTATAACTATAATATTTACAGTTTTTTAAATATTATAAAGTATTAGTAAAAGTATTTAAAATTCTTATTATTTTTAAAAACTTAAATTATTTATAAAAACCCTAGTTAGCTCCAGCTTTTAAATATTATTATATTTCTTATTTAATTTTTTAATATTTATATAATTAATAGCTTTTTTTTGCATGGTATTTAAAAGGCCTTATAGTTATAAGCCCGGAAAACCACTTAATAATTTAGTTTATTAAATTCTTATTTTTTTTAAACTTTTTAAAGCTATTTACATTCCCTAAGTACTAGCCCTTTACTATATAAAGGCCTTTTATAATTAATTATCTTTTATATTTATATTTAAAAAGTTAAATATTAATTAAACCTTAACTTTTATACTTAATTTATTAATTTAAAAGTTATTATAAGCTTTACTACTAGTGTTTTAAATATAATAATTTTCCTAAAGTTTAAGAAGGACTAGCTAGTATAATATAGCTATATTTTATATATTATAATTATTATAAAAGTTTAAAAGTATTTTAATTTAAAAGTAACTTATTAAACTTTTTTTTTAAGCTTCTTCCACTCCCTGGAGATAATATTAATAAAAAAGTATTTAAAATATTTAATTAAAAATAAAACCACGCTAAGCATGTTCTTTTAAAAATTTAAAATATTAATAATATTATACAAAAGTTAATTATGCTTTTTATTTAATAACTTATTAAAAATAAGCTTATTATAAAGGTTTTTATTAAATTAAAGTAGTAACTTACTTTTATTAATCTTAAGATTAAATTTAAGGCTTTTAATAGCTATATTACTACCCTTACTATATTAATTTAATAAGAAAAAGTTACCTAGTGGCTTTAAAATTATAAGTATATTTATTAAAAAATTTTATGCCTTAAGCAACCCAAGGCCAATAATAAAATAGCTAATATAATATTTTTAAAAATTATTAATAAATACTTAATAGCTTATATAAAGCGCCATGCAAATTAATTAAATTATAAAAAACCTAGTAAAACTAATTATTTTACCTTTATTTTTAAGTTTTAATAATATTTTTTTATTACTAATAGCTTTGCTAAAACCTTTGCAGGAGGAATAGCCTTTATTATACTTACTAAAAAGTTAAATTAGCCCTTTACTAGTAATTTAAATATTAAAAGTTTTTTTACTAATAAACCTTCCTAGGCACTAATTAATAATAAATTAATTTATTTTTATAAATATAAGCGCGCTATAAAGTTTTATTATAACTTTATATATTTATATTATTTAAAGTTTTATAAGATAAATAAAGGCCTAAAAAAAATTAATAAAATACTTAAAAAAAATAATAAATATAGCAAGAAGCTCTAGAAGTTAAAGGTTAAGAATACCAAGCTTTTTAAAAATAAAAAAAAAAATACTAAGAACTAAAAAGCTTAATAAAATAGCTAAAAAAACATGTAATTTATAATTCTTAAAAAATATTATAAAGCAGCCCTAGTATTTAGTATTTTAAGTAATTTAAAACTTTAAAATACCTTTATTTTTAATACTAGTGCCTTTGTTTATATTTATAATAATTTTAGTTATTTTACCTTTTTAAATTACTTTTAAGGTAATAATATTTAAGCTAAAAATATAATTATAGCTATACAAGGCTATAAATTAGTTTTTATTTATTTAAAAGTATTTAATAAAGGGATTATATTATTTATACTATATAAAATTATATATACTTTTAAATTTTACCTTAATATTATAATAGCAAGGCCTTTTTAAAAAGCTAGATATACCTAGGATTTTAATACTTTTATACTTAAAAATAATAAACTAGTTTTCTACCTTAAAAATCATTTCTTAGGCCTTTAGATAGTAAAACTAAAAAAAAGTTTTTTAAAGTTAAAAAAGGCCAACACTCTAACTTAATAAAAAGTTAAAATTTTAATTTAAAAAGTATAGCTTTAAAAAAATCTTAAAGCTTTTTACTAACACCTAAAATATATTAATAATAAAGCACTTAAGTATCTTTTTATAGCTATATAAAAAATTAATATTTTTAATTTTTAATTACCTAAGCACTGCAATACTTACTAGGTTAGTTAAGCTTTTTAATAAATATTTAAATAGCTTAAAAAACTAGTTACTAAGCTATTTATTTATATTTATACTAATCTTATTTTTATAAAGCTAGTAATAAATAAAAATTAATAGGTAATTTACTTTTATAATAAGTACTTTAAAATATACTAGGCTTACACTTACTAGCTTAAAAGTAATTATAAAAATATTATTAAGTAATTTATATAATTTATATAAAACCATTATAAAGTTACTCTAAAGTTCCTATTTAATAATAATAAACCTATTTTTAATAATAATATTCCTAACTTTACTACCTTTAAAGGTATTTTTTAAAACTAGTTTATTTTATACTTTTTATTTTAAAATAATATAGCTGTGAAAACCTTGAGTAGGCTAACCAGGTACAAAACAAAGTACTAAGAGGGCTATTTAATAGGGGATTAATATTAAATCTTAAGGCCTAGAATACATAAAAACTAACTTTTAGCTAATTATTTTTTACTAGGGTGTTAGCCTTAAATATATTATTAAAATAATAATAATATTATTACTACATGTTAGGTTAATATTACCATAACTTTTATTTTATTAATTTTTTTATTTTATTAGGGCTTAGCACCCATGGGTATAATAACTTAGCCCTTTTTTAATTAAAATTATCCTAATTTTTAAATAGCTTTAATTTTTATAATAAACATGTTTTATTATTATTTTGCTTTAATTTTACATTTAATTATTTAGTTTTTTTATTTAAAATAATTTATTATTAAATGCGGGGTTATCTTAAGGCTTAAAATAATATTTTTTTATTAGTATTTTACTTTTAAATAACTTTGCTTTTAGTAGCTAAGGTAGCTATTCTAGTAAATAATAAAAGTTTTAAGTTAYTTTTTATTAATTTAAGTATTAATAAATTATAAATAGGCAATATTTTATAAATAATAAAAAGGTTAATATAATTATTATAATGCTATATTATTAATATTATATAAGTAGTTAAATATAAAAAAATAAATTTTTATTTACTTCCTGGTTTTTTTTTTTTTTAACTTTTTTAATTTTTTTATCTTATTTTTTTAGTTTCCTTATTTTATTTTTTAAAGTTTAATATTTTATTTTTTTATTTTTTTACTAGTTATTTAATCTTATAGCACTTATAATAAGGTTTAAAATTTACCCCCCTTTTTTACTAAAAACTATTATTACTACTACTAAAAATAGCAACGGGAACAGCAAAGGTTTCTTAAATAATTTAAAAAAAAAAAATAAGTAAAAAAAGGGCGCTATAAATAATAAAAAAAAAAAAAGCTTAAAAAAAGTAAAAAAGCTAGTAAAACCTACAGGGTTTTATCACGTGTGCCTATTTATTTAGTAATATTATAATACCTAATATGCTTTTGGTCCGCATTAAAAGCTAGTAATTTAAATAATAATAATATATTATTTTAGTTTAGTTATAAATTTAATACTATTATATTAATTTTATGTAAGACCTATTTTTATTATAATAAAACTTGTAAGCTAGTAAGTTTTTAATATTTTTTTTTTATATTTTATAACTAATTTATTATATTTTTTAAATTAAAGTAATAATAACAAGAAACGCCTATAATTTATAATTTTTTATTAAATATTATTATTTTTTTTACCCGCGGACTAATAATAAAGGGGTAAAGCTTTTTTTAAAAAATAAAAAATATTAATAAGGGTAGGAATTTATTTTTTAAACTTATTTTATAATAATCTAATTACTAAAAACCTTTAAAAATATAAAAAAAGCTTATTAAAAAAAATTCTTTTTTTTAAGTAAGGTAAAAAAGGACTAGTAAAAGTTAAACCTTTAATATTATATAAAAGTATTATTATATCGCGCCTTACTTTCTATTATTTAATTTATAAATTTTTTTATTACTAATATAAAAAATAATACTAAAGTTTTATAGTTATACTTTTATTTTTTTCCCGGTAATTTAGGCCATGTTTAATAGTTTATTACTAAATTTTAATTTTAAAAAAAAGTTAAGCTTGCCTGTTAAGCTTATTTTATTAATACTTTAAATTTTAATACTAGACTTGCTTATATTAAAACAAAGTTTCCTATTATTATTAAGGGTATTTAACCAGGTCTATTATATATTTAGTATTAGTAGTAGTGTTTTTTTATTTTTTTACTTTTTTAAAGTTAATATTTTATTTTATTTTTAGTGCCTTTTTAGCGCCTTGGTTATTTATTTTTATTATTTTTTAGTTTAGTTATACTAGGTAACGGCTTGGTAATATTAAGGCCTTGTTTTTTTAATAATACTTTATTTTTTTTTTT